CTCTTTCTGTAGGGGTCCCTCAAGGTTCTGTCCTTGGACCCCTTCTCTGCTCCATCTACACCTTCTCCCTTGGTCACTTGATAAACTCCCATGGCTTTAAGTACCATCTCTATGCTGATGACACACAAATCTATCTTTCTACCCCTCACCTCACCCCTTCATTCTCCTCTCGCATTACTAATCTACTAAGTGACATATCAGCATGGATGTCACTCCACTTCCTAAAACTCAATCTTTCTAAAACGGAGCTCATACTATTCCCTCCAGCCCGTGCCCCCTCCCCTGACTTCTCCATCAAGATCAATAATACAACCATCAGTTCCTCCCCTCGTGCCATTGTACTAGGTGTAATCCTAGACTCCCATCAGTCCTTTCAACCCCAAATATAATCACTGTCCAAATCTTGTAGACTTCACCTCCACAACATCTCCAAGATACGCCCGTTCTTAACCACTGAAACCACTAAGCAACTTATTCACTCCCTTGTTATATCTCGTCTTGACTATTGTAACTCCCTCCTCATTGGGCTACCTAATTTCAGACTATCCCCTCTTCAGTTTATCATGAATGCTGCTGCCAGACCCATCCACCTTACTAACCGTTCCATATCTGCCTTCCCTCACAGCCAATCCCTCCCCCCTGGCTTCCCATTGCCCAACAAATAAAATTCAAAACATTAACAATAACATATAAAAGCTATTTATAACTCTACCCCAAATTACATCACCAATCTTGTCTCCAAATATCACTCAAACCGTCTTCTATGCTCCTCCCACAACCTCCTGCTCTCTAGCTCTCTTGTCTCCTCCTCCCATGCTCATCTCCAGGACTTCTCCAGAGCCTCCTTCATCCTCTGGAACTCTCTACCCCAATCTATCCAACTATCACCTAATCTGCCCACTTTTAGGTGATCCCTGAAAACCTATCTCTTCAGGGAAGCCTATCCTGCCTTCAGCTAATAACGGAATCTTCTATTCCTCCTATCAGTTCTTCCCCCACAGTTATTACCTTTTGTACCACCAACCCCTCCCCATTTAGATTGTAAGCTCCAAGGAGCAGGGCCCTCCTAACCCTCTTGTATTGTTGCTGTATTGTCTCCCTTTATATTGTAAAGTGCTGAGCACATTGTTGGCGCTATATAAATCCTGTTTATTAATAATAATAGTTTATGAAAGCACACAGCCTGTAAAAGGACCGAATGCAGGGTACAGGCATAATACACAGGATTCCTATACACTGTACATAGATCATAGGACTGGCCATATATCATAGGTCTTGGCCTATGTATATGAATGTACTGTGTGCAGATACAATGCTATATACAGATATAATAAAACAAAGAGCTGGGTACACACAGAACAATATTCGGGCCATTCAGCAGGGATGGTTAGATCAACTTCTGTCGAAAGGAACTGCTGGAAAACACTGTTTGACCAGCAGCTTGCAGCATTAATCAGTGTATTCTGACAGCGGAGAGTCCCTGTGTATGCAGGAACCTATTAGGTTTCTTTCTGTTGTTGTTCAGCTTATTGAATGAAAACAAAAAAAAAAACTGAGTGTGTACCTAGCTGAAGATCTGTTTATACAGTACATGAGGACTGGCCCCATGTAGATATGAATATACATAATACAATGTGCAAGTATAACAACACATATAGTTATAGTGTGTATGTATATATATATACACACACACACACACACACACATACACAATGTTCAGTGTATAGATGTAATAACAGATCTGTAAACACTGCACAGTTCATCAATGCAAGAAGATGATGGGTCTGACCTCCATGTACACAATGCAATGTAGGATATAACACAGGAGATCTGTATATACATAGTACACAGATAATAGGACTGGCTCCATGTATAAAATGCAGTGTGTAGATCTGTATATACACACACTGTACACATATGGTGACTGTGGCCCCATGTACACAATGCAGAGTATAGACACAGGTCTGTATACACACTGTACACATATGGTGACTGTGGCCCCCATGTACACAATGCAGAGTATAGACACAGGTCTGTATATATACACTGTACACATATGGAGACTGTGGCCCCCATGTACACAATGCAGAGTATAGACACGGGTCTGTATATATACACACTGTACACATATGGTGACTGTGGCCCCATGTACACAATGTAGAGTATAGGCACAGGTCTGTATATACACACTGTACACATATGGAGACTGTGGCCCCCGTGTACACATATGGTGACTGTGGCCCCATGTACACAATGCAGAGTATAGACACAGGTCTGTATATACACACTGTACACATATGGAGACTGTGGCCCCCATGTACACAATGCAGAGTATAGACACAGGTCTGTATATACACTGTACACATATGGAGACTGTGGCCCCCATGTACACAATGCAGAGTATAGACACAGGTCTGTATATACACTGTACACATATGGTGACTGTGGCCCCCATGTACACAATGCAGAGTATAGACACAGGTCTGTATATACACACTGTACACATATGGTGACTGTGGCCCCATGTACACAATGCAGAGTATAGACACAGGTCTGTATATACACACTGTACACATATGGTGACTGTGGCCCCCATGTACACATATGGTGACTGTGGCCCCCATGTACACATATGGTGACTGTGGCCCCCATGTACACATATGGTGACTGTGGCCCCCATGTACACATATGGTGACTGTGGCCCCCATGTACACATATGGTGACTGTGGCCCCCATGTACACATAATGGTGACTGTGGCCCCCATGTACACAATGCAGAGTATAGACACAGGTCTGTATACACACTGTACACATATGGTGACTGTGGCCCCCATGTACACAATGCAGAGTATAGACACAGGTCTGTATATACACTGTACACATATGGAGGCTGTGGCCCCCATGTACACAATGCAGAGTATAGACACGGGTCTGTACATATACACACTGTACACATATGGTGACTGTGGCCCCATGTACACAATGCAGAGTATAGACACCGTCTGTCTGTATATATACACACTGTACACATATGGAGACTGTAGCCCCAATGTACACAATGCAGAGTATAGGCACAGGTCTGTATATACACACTGTACACATATGGTGACTGTGGCCCCCATGTACACATATGGTGACTGTGGCCCCATGTACACAATGCAGAGTATAGACACAGGTCTGTATATACACTGTACACATATGGTGACTGTGGCCCCCATGTACACATATGGTGACTGTGGCCCCCATGTACACAACGTAGAGTATAGACACAGGTCTGTATATACACTGTACACATATGGTGACTGTGGCCCCATGTACACAATGCAGAGTATAGACACAGGTCTGTATATACACTGTACACATATGGTGACTGTGGCCCCCATGTACACAATGCAGAGTATAGACACAGGTCTGTATACACACACTGTACACATATGGTGACTGTGGCCCCCATGTACACATATGGTGACTGTGGCCCCCATGTACACATATGGTGACTGTGGCCCCCATGTACACAATGCAGAGTATAGACACAGGTCTGTATACACACACTGTACACATATGGAGACTGTGGCCCCCATGTACACAATGCAGACCAGTCCATACACAGAGTACACAGCCCCCATGTACACAGTTCAGACCAGTCCATACACACAGTACACAGCCCCATGGCGGGCCCCGGCCTCCTCGGTGAGGAGACAAGCAGGCAGGCGGTGACACCGGCTGCACACATAATACTGATAGGTGACTGTACACAGAGGGGGAGGAGCTCCATGTCTCCACAAATACATACACACATAGACCGGACGGAGCCGGCTTTCCTCCGCCTTTCCCTCTCCCGTTCTGACCTAGGAAGCCCCTCGGTCCAGCGCTGACCTCCTGACCTTTCCCCTCTACGGTCCCGGGCTGACCTCTGACCTCTCCCCGCCGCTCACTCCGAGCTCAGCTTCTCCCTCTCTGTCTGGCTCTTTCTCTCTGCCCCTGACGTCATTTCCCCTCAGACAGGACGACTTCCTGAACACGTGACCACTCCCTCCTCACCTTTCAGTCCGTCGTTATGGGAACGGAGGGGAGGCCCCTTTTCCTGGAGTAGTTGTGTGCTGCCCCTGGGCTGTGCCCCCTGGGTGCCCCGTGTACAGGGGATGTGTGTGGAATGGCACACAGTGTGACTGCTCTCCTCCAGCATTCTATCCCAGGGTCCTGTGTAGGGGATAGGACCTCAGGAACACTCAAAACAGTATAGAGCGAACCTCAAACTTTCAGATTGTACAATCATTGTTAAACCTAGCATACACTGTACAATCTCATTTAGATCTACAAACAGCTATGTATTTGGGCTCCATGCAAACTGGCTTAACAAAATGCTGCTTGTAGAGGCGTTTAGTGTTTTGCCTGTTGAAGCGGCTAATGTCATCCTATGTGTTCATGCACATTAGGTAGCCTAGAGGCATTATTAACCACTTGCCCTCCAGAGGATTTACCCCCCTTCCTGACCAAGACTTTTTTTTTGCGTTTTGCGACAATTGCACGGTCCATGCAAAACCACCCAAATGAAATTTACGTCCTTGTTTCCCACGAATTGAGCTTTCTTTCAGTGGTATTTGATCGCCTCTGCGGCTTTTATTTTTTGCACTATAAAAAAAAAATACAATGTTGAGAAAAAAACAATATTTTTGACTTTTTGCTATTAACCACCTCCCGCCCGCCATATAGTTCAATGACGGGCGCAAGGTGGTTCTCTTGTTCTGGGAGGCGTCATATGGCGTCCTACCATTCTCACCGCGCATGCGTGGCTCAGGGAGCGCGCGCCGATCGGCGGTGCACTGTGTCCCTCGGACACAGCGGATCCGAAGATGTCGGCTCAGTCGTGATCAGCTGTGTCCAATCACAGCTGATCACATGTAAACGGAAATGCCGGTTATCGGCATTTCTCTCCTCTTGAGCTGTCACGCTGACAGCTCGAGAGAAGGGAGAGCCCGTAATCGGGCACTGATGATCAGTGTAGCCCCAGCAGTGCCACCTGTCAGTGTCCATCAGTGCCTTGTGTCAGTGCTCATCAGTGCCACATCAATGCCACATATCAGTGCCTACCAATGCATATCAGTGCCCATCTGAGCTGCCTTTCAGTGTCACCCATCAGTGCCAGTCAGTGCCACCTATCAATGCCAATCAGTGCCACCTATCAGTAGTGCCAGTCAGTGCCGCCTATCAGTGCCAGTCAGTGCCGCCTATCAGTGCCAGTCAGTTGCCGCCTATCAGTGCTGCCTATCAGTGCCATGTAACAGTGCTGCCTTTCAGTGCCCATCAGTGATGCATGTCAATGCCCATCAGTGCCACCTACCAGTGCCTCCTCATCAGTGCCACTTATCAGTGCCCATCAGTGCCACCTATCAGTGTCCATCAGTGCAGCCTATCAGTGCCCACCACTGCAGTCTCATTAGCACACATCAGTGAAGGAGAAAAATCACTTATTTACAAAATTTTATAACAAAAACTAATTTTTTTTCCAAAATTTTCAGTGGTTTTTGGTTTGTTTAAGAAAAAATAAAAAACCCAGAGGTGATTAAATACCACCAAAAGAAAGCTCTATCTGTCTCAAAAATATGATAAAAATTTCATATGGGTACAGTGTTGCATGACCGTGCACTTGTCATTCAAAGTGTGACAGCGCTGAAAGCTGGAAATTGGCCTGGACAGGAAGGGGGTATAAGTGCCCTGTAGGCTAGTGGTTAAACATGTTCAGTAAAAATATTTACAAAATCACATTTCCTCATAAATTTCGGGCAAAATATATTCTGCTACATGTCTTTGCTAAAAAAAATCCCAGTACCCTACCCGGAAATGCAAAAAATACATGATTTTGCGCCCCCATGCCGCCCTTTAGCAGTAGATCTGCTATAGGGCGGACAGGAAGCCGTTAAAGCTCAGAATTTGGGGCAGAAAAAAGCACTAAACGCTCCTAAACACAAGTACAAAAGAACATTCAAAATGACAGTTTTTTCTGCCAAGAGCACTGCTGTTATATTAAAGTGATACTAAAGTCTTGTTTAAAAAAAAAATAAAACGTCATACTTATGCAGGCCATAGACGATTCGAAAGAATAATCAGCCGATTTTTGCACTGTTAGTGGGGCAATGGCATTGGCCGATTTTCATGGTTCCTCCTCATTTCGTTTATCGGTCACGCTGGGAAATTTGTGAAAAATGGCCGATTTTCGCAATCATTGGGGGCAACATCGGCTTACAGAACGAACAATGTTTCGTTTTTCGGACGAAAAATTGGCCGATAAACGAACCGTCTATGGCCTGCATTACCTGCTGTGTACAGTGGTGTTGCACAGAGCAGCCCGGATCCTCCTCTTCTCGGGCCCCCCACCAGTTCTCCTGGCCCCTCCCTCCTGTCAGATGCCCCCATAGCAAGCAACTTGCTATGGCTCACCTGAGCAGGCGCTCTCCCGAGCCACTGCTCTGTGTGTCCATTCACACATGCAGCCACGGCTCGGCCCGCCCCCTCTGTCTCCTTGTTTGCTCGCTGGCTGTGATTGACAGCAGTGTGGGCAAATGAAGAGGCAGAGACCCGGGACTGCCAAGGATCTCATGTACATTGCTGGATCTCGATTGAGCTCAGGTAAGTATTTGGGGGGGGAGGGGGCTAGGGGCACTGCTGCACAGAGAAGGTTTTTTACCTTCATGCATAGAATTCATGAAGGTAAAAAACCTTGAGCCTTTTCAAACAATGTAATGTAAAGGCAGGGCAAATGGATAAAAATAAAATGGATTGTTTAGATTTGACCCCATATTACATATGGTCTCAATGCTGGGAAGCTGGGAGCTACCTGTGACAGCTCAGTCCCTGTACTGGGAGCGCTCAGTGGGCATGCTCTCTGCATACAAACCTCAGCCACCATGGCTGCCATAAATGCAGCATGTGGCCATTAACGTGGTTGTAAAGGCTGAAGGTTTTTTACCCTCATGCATTCTATGCACGAAGGTAAAAAACCTGCGTGTAGCAGACCCCCAATCCCCTCAATACTTACCTGAGCTTCTTGCTGTGGGTGCACCCAATAGACAGGAGAGCCTGCAGGGGACATGAGAAGAGGAGGATCCTGGATGCTGTGTGCAAAACCACTGCACACAGCAGGTGAGTATAGACATGTTTGTCATTTTACACCAAAAAATGATCCTTTAGATTCGCTTTAAGGCCCGTCCTCCCTGTCACTGCACATGTGTGATGTGGTCAGCAGAGATCTATGAATGTGAAACTGTTTGTGTTCCTAGTTCTATTAAAGCAGTATTAAACCCAAAAATAAAATCTTTTATGTTGTTGTTTTACAATTCTTAGATGTGATGGCTGCATCTGTTTTCTTTTTTTTCACTTTCTTTCCTTTATTTTCACTGAGGTGATCCAGCCAAGTCTGTTGTTTTTCATCTTCCTCTAAAGCAGAACTAAACCTATCGATTTGCCAGTTTCAAAAAATAGTTACATTCCCTAGGGGCGTATCTACCGTGAGGCGAAAAAGGCATTTGCGTAGGGCGGCATCTTTCAGGGGGGCAGCACTGCCCCCCCTACAACAACGGACACATAGGTGTGAGTGGTCTTCAAAGCAGGGCAGCTCAACGGCTCCCGAGTTGATTTTACGACAGCTCCACTGGCTCCCCTGGGTTGCACAACTGTCACAGCCAAGCTCCATCTCCCCTGAGGATGGCTGGCTCTGCTGAAATCCAATTGCTGCCCCTCCTCATCCGTAAGTAAGGGATTGAATGAGAGTGTGAGCAATGGGGGGTGTACAAGGTGTATGTGACTGTCCACACTGGGGGGCTTTACAAGTTATATGTGACTGTCCACACTGGGGGGTGTACAAGGTGTATGGGAATGTGGGCATAGTTGTACAAGTTAAATGTGAGTATGGGCACTTGGGGCATGCACATAGTGTACACGTGTGCAGGCTGTGGGTGTGTGGGGGGCTGAGGATGTGCTTTGGGACTTGTCGCAAGTCGTGCATGGGGGGGGATATTAGTCTTGTTTAGGGCAGCACAAAACCAAAATACACCACTGAGATTCCCAGCATGCTGCATAGGAATGCTAACTGTCACATTTGCTGATGTTATCAACCAAACTGTCAAATCAAATGCCTAGAGTCATAACTGATCACATATGTAGCCCCATGGCAGTTGCAGATCAAACAGAGACTAAGATGGCAGCTTCCTTGGCTGAAAAGGAGAGGAGGGTTTAGTTCCTCAAACTGTCTAGCACAAGTGGCAGTTGGAGGGTTGAGACAAACCATTTAAAGTGGAACTAAAGGAAACATTTAAAAACTTTTGAACAGTCATGCTGTTTATCACAGAAGAGAAATGGAGGGGGGATTTACTCAAATTGGAGCACTCAGAATCTGGTGCAGCTGTGCATGGTAGCCAATCAGCTTCTAACTTCAGCCTGTTCAATTACGCTCTGGCAATAAACCCTGGAAGCTGATTGGTTTCTATGCAGAAGTGCACGTATTTTTGCACTCTCCAGATTTAGTAAATAAACCCCGCAATGTCTGTACTCCAATATAAAAACCTACCTGCCTGCTGACATCCTCCGATGTGGCATGTAAACTGAGCTGTGCATGCCCAGGAGGTAGGTCATCCCGCGGCAGCTATTTAAGACAGCCAAAGGCCGGCACTTGGAAGGAGCCAGGGAGAAGACACAGGCAAGGGGCTCCTCGTGGACCTTGGACTATAGAAGAGGAGCTGAGTATGGTGCCTTTAGTTCCACTTGTAGCCAGCTTGCCTACTTGTATCTAGTTCATATGCTGTTAGGTCCTGTTCCTGTTTCCAGATGATCGCCTGCCTCCAGGAGCTGTGCACCATCTAGAGGGACTGCTGGGAACTGTAGTCCACCTTGATAACACCAGCTGCTGGATACTGCCAAGATGGACTCTACCTATGCAAGTACGCTGGAGTTAGGGACTAGGGTTGTTAGGGAAAAACTGTACTTTGGAGTTGTAATGTTTGGAAACTTCAGTAAAGCTTTTGCTTGGTCTGAAGTTCTTAACCACTTCAGTACTGGACACTTATACCCCCTTCCTGCCCAGGCCAATTTTTATCATTTTTTTCACACAAATAGAACTTTCTTTTGGTGGTATTTAATCACCACTTTTTTTATTTTTTGCTAAATAAAACAATAAACACCTGACACTTGTGAAAAAAACGCACTTTTCTTCGTTTCTGTTATAAAATTTTGCAAATAAATAACATTTCTTCATAACTTTAGGTCAAAATGTATTCTGCTACATTTCTTTGAAAATAATAATAATAATTGAATTTGTATTTTTTTTCAAATGATTCTTATATTTTTTTTAATTTTTGTTATTACATTTTTTCACTATTTTATTTTTCAGCACACTGTGACCAAAGCAATACAATGTTACCATAGTAACGTTGAACTACTCTGGGCAAGTGATCAGGATTTTTTTTTGTAACACATTATGACTGCTAATACCAATGTATTTCATTGATATTTGCAATCATTGTTACGGAATGAAACTGATTCATTCAGTGTTTTGTTGTGATTAGCTGTGATTGGGCAAAGCTGATCACATGATACAGATGGGCTGTGATTTGCCCTGTCTGTATCATGTGACTGCCTTGACCAGTCACAGCTAACAACATAATTGTATATAATGGATGGCATGACATGAAGCCATCCATTGTATACAATTGACATGTGATCTGCTGTGATTGGTCACAGCAGTCACATGACACTGGCAACAGGCCGGTGTAGTGATATGTCATTGGCTGTGTCCCGGAGACACAGCCGGTGACAAATCGCACCACTGCGCGGCCCTGCAGGCGCATGAGCGGCTTGTTTTGACAGGACGTCATATGACGCCCATTCACAACGGCAAGTGTCCCACCCGGACACCAATCTCCTATAGGCTGGGCAGTAAGGTGTTAAAGAGGTGTAATGCAAGTAACTGGCACCCACACATGGTCTACAGCAGGGGTTGGCAACCTTAAAGAGGTGGAGATCTACCTGAACAACATGGGGGGAAGTCAAAGATCACCGGGCACAGTGTCGCCTCCTCACACCTGATTTAAACCTCTAATTGTCATACTACCGTGTCACAATCGTGTGCATTGCACGGCAACCATGTATTTAAATCAGGCGGTGAGGAGGCAACATATTGCCTCCTTACCATCTGTCGAACACATTTGGATCACTTTTTAGAGGAGCGACAGTGCCTGCTACACTTGTGAACGAGCTCTTAGTTGCATTCAGCAGAGGCATCCTTAGGGCTCATTCACACATAAAGTGTGGGGGGGGGGGGGGGGGTAAAACCCTGCAGTTGAGTCACAATTTTACTGCCCCTAGTCCCTACCCCCTTCAGCTGCTGAGACAGCAGCTAAAGGTGTACACTTGCCGCAGCAGAAATTAAGCTCCCTGTTGCTTTAGTGGGTGCTACCGCCTACCAATAACGACCCATTCAAGTAAATGGGGCCATTCTGTGCCCTGCAACTGCATTCTTCTGTGGGGTCCAAGGGGTTAAGCAAGAAAGCAACACAACGTTGCCTGCTTTAACCCCTTGTTTGCTGTACTGCACAAGGTTGCAGGACACTTGCAGATCGGCCTGCTTTACTTGAATAGGTCATGCTTGGCAGGTGCTACAGCCACCAACCATGACAGAGTGTATAATTCCTGCTGCAGCTGCGATATGTGTACATCCCTTGCCAATGCAGCTAATGGGGGTGTGGTTGGGACAGGGGGTGGTAAAAACACTTCTTAACTATGGTGTTTTACACCCCCCCCAAATTGCAAATGTAAATGAACCTTTATAGTTCTGAGCCCCCTGTAATTTTGCTTTCACACTGATGTGCTGCGGTTGTCCTGTACCGCGGGTGCAGCGCAGTGCATATGCAACTTTCCTGGGTTAGTTGCGCTTTGCCATAGAATTCCATTATATCCTGCAGATGCGGTGCACTTTCTGAGAGCGCACTGGAACTCCTGCATGATATAATAGAAGTCTATGGATAAGCTCAGCAAAGCTGCAGGTACACTGCTCTGCACCCACAATGTGGGTAAACCGCAGCACAACAATGTGAAAGCAGCCCTATACTATTATGTCCAGTGTATTGCTTCACACTGACCTGAAGATCTGGCACCACTCTGGAGTCCGCTATCTGGGCTAAGAGATAAGAAGTGGAGTACAGTTGGTATCGCTCTGCATGGGACAGGAGCCAGCACTACAGAAGAGGCATCGCAGCTCCAACTTTACAAGCAGTCTCTGCATTGCACTTTGTTTGATGCTTTTGGATGGTGGGTCAGTAAGTCCAGACCGCGATCTACCAGTCACCTGACCGCAATCAACTGATAGATTGCGATCTACGGGTTGCTGACCCCCGATCTATAGCTCGGTTCAGTAGCACTTTGGGGTATAAAGGCAACAAGTGGTTACCAAGGGTAGCAGAGGTCCAATAAGCAGAGTGTCATGAAGCGTGTACCTATGAGATGTGGGACAGCCTCTTGTAGAGACAGAGTTGTTGTCTGGATTATCTCCTCTGGTGGTCCATCTCCCATACCAACAGGAGCAGATCAGTGCTCGGAGGTCCCCGGCCTGGGCACAGGTACAGAAGAGGAAGAGTAAAATGAGTGCACACACCCCTACTCTCCATATAGGTCTCAAAAAATATACATCAGAGCCTCTAAGCTATCTGTATGTAGCACTGCCCCCTTAGGAGTCGCTAAAGATTTGGGTCCCCCTATAGTCCTGCACAGCCAGGCAACACACATTTTCTTCAGACCTTGCATACAGGAGATTTTATTTTTGGGATTTTATTAAGGGGTATTGAACTTGGATGGGGTTGACGGGTGTATGGGATGCCCAGGGGAACTGTGAACTGAGGACAAACTCCTTAGCAACAATGTACAATTCTTTTAGACAGCAAAGTCTCTTTGTTGGAAGAGCTCTCCAGCCCTCTAGGTGTACCACCTCAGACTCCAGATGAAATCTCCTCTTCACCCAGCTGTCTGCAAAAACCTTGAACAAGGAGACCCAGAATCTGCCACTTCAAAACCAGTCCCAGATGGGGGCTAGTCAAGTTTCTCACCAGAATAACCTCTCCCCTTAATTGGCCCAGGGGGTGTGGGATCACTCACTCAGTCCTGCTCACTCCTTCTTCCACACAACTCTCCTGCTGCTGAGCAGGTTCTAGAACACTTAAAAACTGCCCTGGCCCCTTGCCAAGCCTCCTGCTTGGGCATTGGCCAGGATCCTTTAAGTGTGCAGGCCAGCTCCTCCTCACCCCTGCCTACTGGTTCTACAATCTTCTCCAAGATTCTAGAGCAGTGGAAGGTATCAAGGAAATGATCTGCAGAGCCTCTCAGCCCTGATCCAAAATAACCATCTGGCTGCTATTCAGCCTTTCTAGCTGAAAACCTAATCTAGCTCCCCCTAGCTACCTAGGAAGGTGCTATATGTATATACTTTAGTTATTAACCTGCAGTAATCACAGTATCCTAAATATCAAAGATAGTCCTGTAAGGAATTTATCCAGAGGTCCATCATTATGAAGTACATACAGTATCTCACAGAAGTGACTACACCCCCACATTTTTGTAAATATTTGATTCTATCTTTCATGTGCCAAGACTGAAGAAGTGACACTTTGCTACAATGTAAAGTAGTGAGTGTACAGCTTGTATAACAGTGTAAATTTGCTGTCCCCTCAAAACAACTCAACACACAGCCATTAATGTCTAAACCGCTGGCTACAAAAGTGAGTACACCTCTAAGTGAAAATGTCCAAATTGGGACCAATTAGCCATTTTCCTTCCCCAGGGTCATGTGACACATTAATGTGTTACAAGATCTTAGGTGTGAATGGGGACCAGGTGTTTTAAGTTTGGTGTTATCTCTCGCACTCTCTCATACTGGTCACTGGAAGTTCAACATGGCACCTCATGGCAAAGAACTCTCTGAGGATCTGAAAAAAATAATTGTTGCTCTACATAAAGATGGCCTAGACTATTAGAAGATTGCCAAGACCCTGAAACTGAGCTGCAGCACGGTGGCCAAGACCATACAGCGGTTTAACAGGACAGGTTCCACTCAGAACAGGATTCGCCATGGTCAACCAAAGAAGTTGAGTGCATGTGCTCATCCATAGGTTGTCTTTGGGAAATAGATGTGTGAGTGCTGCCAGCATTGCTGCAGAGGTTGAAGGGGTGGAGAGGCAGCCTGTCAGTGCTCAGACCATACGCCACACACTGCATCATATTGGTCTGCTGTCATCCCAGAAGGAAGCCTCTTCTAAAGATGATGCACAAGAAAGCCCACAAACAGTTTGCTGAAGACAAGCAGACTAAGGACATGGATTACTGCAGTGTTTCTCAACTCCAGTCCTCATGGACCCCCAACAGGTCATGTTTTCAGGATTTCCATTATTTTGCACAGGTGATTTGATCAGTTTCACTGCCTTAGTAATTACCACAGCTGTTTCATCTGAGGGAAATCCTGAAAACATGACCTGTTGGGGGTCCATGAGGACTGGAGTTGAGAAACACTGGATTACTGGAACCATGTCCTGTGGTCTGATGAGACCAGATAAACTGATTTGGTTCAGATGGTGTCAAGCGTGTTTGGTGACAACCAGGTGAGGAGTACAAAGACAAGTGTGTCTTGCCTAATTTACACTGTTATACTGTACAAGCTGTACACTCACTACTTTACATTGTAGCAAAGTATAAGTTCTTCAGTGTTGTCACATGAAAAGATATAGAAAATAAAATATTACAAAAATGTGAGGGGTGTACTCACTTCTGTGAGATACTGTATGTCAGGATATATATGGCCATGCAGTCAGATCGCTATTTAGCTCAAAGAAAAGAAAACCATTGAAATAAATTCATATTTTTACCATAATAAGTAGTCTTCAGACATCAAGATTCAATTTTAATGGGGTTCCCACAAAAGGCCAATATGGCTGGTGCATATAATATATCATGGAACCAAGCAATAGAGAACATCTCTCAAAGACAGGGGCTTTAAATAGCAAGAAATGGCACCATGTGCCACGTGACATCACCACATGTGCGTAGCCTTTTTTTAAAATTTAAACTTTTATTTGATTTTCCAGTACAAAAAGAACAACAATACATTTGCAAAAATATTTCACATATACATATTTCCATTTATCCCAATATTGCCCCCACCCACCCTTCCTCTAACCCATTTTCCCCATCCATATCCTC